TCGAGGAGGCACTCCCAACAGATCTGCAAGCTGACGGGGCGGCGCAGCCGCCGGTGCAATCGCGGCTGAAACCGGCGCGGTTAGGGCCTGCCTGGGCCCCGCAAAAGCCGTCGAAGGGAGAACCGCCGGAGGAGGTAATGCCTCGGGAGGCTGGGGCTTGGTCAACAACTGAACCTGAGTGCTGAGGGCCTGCAGTGCCGCGACGATGTCCGTCTGCTGGGCCGCCAACATGGCGACCGTAGGTTTCTTCTTTGGCTCTGCCTTTGCCCGCCGGGGCAGCAACGGTGGTACCTCCCCCTCGGGGATCATCTCCTCGGCGGTGACGTAACCTGCCCCTCTTTCCCCTTCGACACTTCCCATCCACGAGACTGCGAAGGCTGCCAGGGTTGTCGCAAGCGGGAAAAGCATCGGTGCATCCTCGACAAAGGGAGTACACTCCCCGATACCTTCCTCGAGGGGCTCGAGGGCTGCAGAGGCTTCGTCGGCCAAGTCTATCAGGACTACATCTATGTTCCGAGGGGGGTAAACCCCGACCCAATCCCCTGTCTCCGAAAGCTCCACGGCGGGGGCATTGGTCAACGTGTAAGGTCCTAAGAGGCCTATGAAACCTTCGGCAGCGGCCTCCTGAAGCGAGCCTGCAGGCAAGTAGTTCTCCGGAACGGCAAGCAGGAAGCCACCCGGGCGCTTGAGAACGCAGTAGCTTACGGCCGGGGGCTTGTCTCCGGTTCCAGGCAGCAAAGCTGCTCCTCTCAACTTCAGCAGGCTGACGTCGCCCGCTTCGGCCGGTGCAACATCGTCTGGATTCATTGCTCAAACACTCGAGGGAAAGAAAGTCCGGCCCCTGCAACGTAGATGCGAGCCTCGGTTTCCGTAGGCCACCCGTGTGACAGAGAAAGGCCCCTGTGGTTATCGACCAAACGAAGATACACCGAGCGGCTCGATGTAACACGGACGTTGCTGCAACCCGAGGTGCGGAGCACGACGTATATTCGAGACGGCAACTGGAGGGCAGGCGTGCAACTGGGCGTAACCACCCGGCCTTCAATGACAGCAGCGGCCCAAAGGCCCGCTACCCAAGCTCTGTTTGCTCGGAACTCAGGCGTAGCCACGGTCGAACGGAGTGACCGGGCTGTATCCAACAGCTGGGAAGGAATGCCGGGGAAAGAAGCCTCGATGGCCGTTCGGGACTCAGGAAAGGCTGGGTAGGAAGAAGGCGGGTTAGGGCCCCTACCTAAACCCGAGGCTCTATCAACCCCTAAACCCGATGCAGGCAGCGAGGCACTCAGGGCCTCAGCTGAAGCAGCAGGGCAAGGAGAGGGAGGAGCTCCCGAAGCCCCTGACACAGAAGTGGAGGAAGCACCCCGAGAACGGGTAATCGAGATCCTCAGCCCCTCGAGTTCCAAGGAGAGCTGAGTGATTGCCTCTGGGTCAGAGGCGGGTGTGCCCATACAAAGCCAAACGATCCAAACCACGTGCGGCTTGCACGTTAGTAGTCTCCCTTGCCTGAAGGAGGTGCCGAAGGCGAGAGGAGGGAAGAAGGAAGAAAAATGCGAGGCAGATGGCAAGTCCAATGGCCACAAGGAATCCAAGCAGAAATGCCAGCACGAGCTGAGCTGCAGAAGTCCCCTGGCAGTGAACAGGACACCTGAATCCCCACAAGTCCGTCCGAATGCCCTCCGAAATCACCGAAGCAACCTCCCGAAGGAAAGGGCCCCACACCATACTTGAACCGCCGCGACATGGAGCCGGTTTCACACTCATCACTGTTGTCAGGGCTGTTGCTCTGGATAACACACATCAAGCTGTCAAGCTTGCTCGTGTTGTGCTGGATCAACGATACCCCAGAGACAGCAAGAACGAGTGCTAGAGATCGTTGCAAGCCCAAACAAAGCCTGCAAAAACTGACGACAACGCAACATGAAGCTTTCCTGCATCAGCTCCGCAAGCAACAGCATGCTGGGCTCAGCTCTATCATTGAGACGTTAGGATTCTTGTGCTCATCACGCAGGAAGCCACATAACGTGACGGCCATGCCATTCTGAAGCAACAACGCAACCTCCGACAGCGACAGAAACTGCACGAGAACAAGCTCTTGTCATGATGAGTCTGTTCTGCTGCGGAGACGGCAAAAGGGACTGCAAGAGGTCGTTGCAAGCCCCAAACAACGCATGGAAGAACTGGCGACAATGGAACCTGAGGCTTTCCTGCATCAGCTCCGAAAGCAACAGCATGCTGGGCTCAGCTCTATCATTGAGACGTTAGGACTCTTGAGCTCATCACGCAGGAAGACACATATCGTGACGGCCATGCCATTCTGAAGTAACAACGCAACCTCCGACAGCGACAGAAACTGCACGAGAACAAGCTCTTGTCATGATGAGTCTGTTCTGCTGCGGAGACGGCAAAAGGGACTGCCAGAGGTCGTTGCAAGCCCCTAACAATGCTTGGAAGAACTGGCGCCAATGGAACCGTGAGGCTTTCCTGCATCAGCTCCGAAAGCAACAGCATGCTGGGCTCAGCTCTACCATTAAGGCTTTAGGTTGTTGTGCTCATCATGCGGCAAACCTCATTGTGAGGTCGCTGCAAGCCCCAGAAAACGCTTGGAAGAACTGATGACAAAGGAATGTGAGGCTTTCCTGCATCAGCTTTGAAAGCAACAGCATGCTGGGCTCAGCTCTATCATTGAGACGTTAGGATTCTTGTGCTCATCACGCAGGAAGCCACATATCGTGACGGCCATGCCATTCTGAAGCAACAACGCAACCTCCGACAGCGACAGAAACTGCACGAGAACAAGCTCTTGTCATGATGAGTCTGTTCTGCTGCGGAGACGGCAAAAGGGACTGCAAGAGGTCGTTGCAAGCCCCAAACAACGCATGGAAGAACTGGCGACAATGGAACCTGAGGCTTTCCTGCATCAGCTCCGAAAGCAACAGCATGCTGGGCTCAGCTCTATCATTGAGACGTTAGGATTCTTGTGCTCATCACGCAGGAAGACACATATCGTGACGGCCATGCCATTCTGAAGCAACAACGCAACCTCCGACAGCGACAGAAACTGCACGAGAACAAGCTCTTGTCATGATGAGTCTGTTCTGCTGCGGAGACGGCAAAAGGGACTGCAAGAGGTCGTTGCAAGCCCCAAACAACGCATGGAAGAACTGGCGACAATGGAACCTGAGGCTTTCCTGCATCAGCTCCGAAAGCAACAGCATGCTGGGCTCAGCTCTATCATTGAGACGTTGGGATTCTTGTGCTCATCACGCAGGAAGACACATATCGTGACGGCAGGAATGCCATTCTGAAGCAACAGGGCAACCTCCGACAGCGACAGAAACTGCACGAGAATAAACTCTTGTTATGCTGGGTCTGTCTTGCAAAGGAGACTGGAAGAATCGCGTTCGCTGGGCACATTTTGGAGTGTTGTTGGGTGTTGTTTTTTACATTGCCGTACTTTGCCCCTAGTTGTGGTCCCGCAAGATCCTAGCATATTCGTGCTCCTACCAGTGCCGTGCGAATACTTCGGGTGCGTGTTTTGTCTTCACCGCGGAGTCCCGCGTGTGTCCGCTTGCAACCAGGTGCTCTCTGACCGCTGGAGCTCTTCCCAATGGCTTCAGGTTGCGGGTGCAGAGCACTTCGGATATGCTCCGATTGCGTCTCCAGAATAGGTTCTTGACTCGTCTTCAGCACCGGCTTGAAGGTTTCGAGACGCCTGGTAAGGAGTACACTCACGCAAGTAACAGGCTTGAGGGTGAGGCGACGCAAGGAAGACGAAACCACGATACAGAAACGTGTTGCGGACGAAGAAGGAGACGTCCTAACCAATCGTCATGGCACCTCCTTCCAGAGCGAGAGCAGCTCCGCCAAGTGTCTGCGAAGGCAGCGCTGCAATGCGAAGAGCCTGTCCACTACCCCCTACAGTAGCTTTGCAAAAGCTTCTAACGTGTTAACCTTCTCCTTACAAGCGTACAATGCATGTCCGTTGTCTTCCTGACGACATTGCACTGGTGTCTGGAATCGGCAGACGCTCTGGTCTCTGGCTTGTCGTCGGATTGTAAGGCCTTTTCATGTAAGTACTGTGCGTTGCATTTCTAAGCGTCCGGGTTGAAGGTTCTTCTCCGGTCCTCCACCTATCTGGCTCGACTTGGGAACAGTCATTGTCATCATCAAGCTTTGCGTATTCCCGCTGCGCAGGCCCAGGCGTGTATGTGTGTGGCGCATGTGTGTATGTGGTCGTAGAGACTTCAAGTCAGTATACTTCTGCGTTCTGTGCACGTCCGCTTGCATGCAATGCAACAGAACACGGTAGTGGCTCGGGCAAGCTCAGGATCAAACATTGCAGCGACCCGAACACTCTTCTTCCTGAACAGCAGGACGCTACAGTTCTGCTGCCGTGCAGACAGTCTGTATTTGTGCTCAACACGATACGAGTCCTTCCACAGCTCTGACGAGGCTGTTGATCATCACAAACTTCTCCAGGACCTGCAAGACGAAGCAAAACTGCGACTGTCCTCTGTACTGGACAGGCTCCTGCCAGTAGTGCTAGTAACAAGTCAATCCACCTTCATATAAGCACGTCACAAAAACAAGCCCGTTCTGATGGCAAATCCGGATTGCTTGCACAACTGCAGTTTCAACTCATCATTCGCACACGATCTGAGTGCATCTGAATCTGCATGCTGATCCATGTCTGGGTGATTATTGGCGAAGCAAAGCATAAGCACAGTGGAACGCCGCCATGCTCACGCAGAGCTCCAGCATCTTTCGCTTGTGCAACGTCTGCTGAGGCGGCTTTTGAGGCGAGCGAACGTAAAGGCGACCGGAAAGCTGTCGAAGGGCCAAGGCTCGGCTCAGCGGCCCTCTACGTTTTTGACAAACCGCGTGCAAGATATGCAAGGCGCTCGGCCTGCAGCGCCTGCGTCGGCATCGGATGAAACCTGCTCGCGAAGCTCCCAGAAGAACATCAGTCACAGATGGGGCACGCTGCTTTTTCGGCGACACTAGGCTTGGTAGCTGCCATCTCGGATGGCTTCCTCTACCTCAGCGCGACTGGCCCCGAAGTCCTCGGCTGCAACTTCAGAGCTTGATCCTTTCAAGCCGATGTCCTTCGAGTTGCAGCAAAGCAGCAGGTGCATCTCTTGCGATGAAAGCTGGGGTATCAGCTTTCCACATTGCTGTGTCACCGATGCCGACGCCGTTCCGCCGGCACCAGCCTGCTCATCTTACGACAGCTCTTGACTGTCTTATAGCATGCAGCAACAGGCCGGACTGGAGAATGAACCTTCAGGTAGCTCTATGGCTGAGCTGGCCGGCAGCTCACTTGGCACACCCTTTCTGGAAAGTGGAGTAGCTTGCCTGGGTCGCACTTGATCCAGATATGCGGATTGAAAAACTCCTGAGATTGTGTGGATGCAGCCAAGCCTCTTAATTGAAACTACTCTGTGCTCGCTATTGACATAGACAATGTCTAGCGGCATGTAGGTGTTTTCCTCATACATTGAGCAATCAGTGGAACAGCCTGTATTGAGAGATGCTACGTCCGAATAACTTGAACTGGATCAACTGATGTGGAGGAAGGGAAGATCCTGAGACGCGGTCCATCCAAAAGCTTCTGGCTCCATCTCGGTCCCACTGGAAGAGCATCGCAGTGCCCTCCGTCAGTTCAGACCGGAACATGAGGCCTCTCCTCGGAGCGAAAGCCAAAGGCACCAGTGCACGGCAGCATCCCCCGCGGCTTTTCGTTTCAAGGAGAGTCAGTAACCGTGTTGAGCTTGGGCACACCTCAAAGATGGAAGCTCTCCCCCCGACTCCCCCTACAGGCACTGCATGGTGCCTGGTCACCTTGCAACCCTCGTCCTTCCTTGCGGGTTGTTCAGTTTCATCTGTTGGGGCTTTACCATCCAGAATGCAGTGCACTCCCCACTAGCTGGAAAGCCGCTGTGGAAGTATCCAGTGGAATCTCGATGGTTCTGGTCCGAGAAGCATAAAGGTACTGAACGTCCTCCGCCGGGGGAGCTTACATGAAGACGACGTACAAGGAGCAGCTTACACCACAGCGCACAGATGCGCACAGTATATACACGCAGCGCACGCAACGCGGCGCCAGGTGCCAAAAAAACAGAAACGGCTCAGTCCTGGGAATCTCGACATCTACTTCCACTCGTCCGCCTCCCGCAGCGCTGCTCGAGAACCAGAGCCTGCCATCCTTGCCAGGCACGGCAAAAAGCTCAGCTTTCGGCGCTTCCGCTTTCTTGCCCCCCTTTCCCGGCTCTCTGCCCGTGGCCTCTCGGAAGGCGATGGGAGCCTCCGTGTGCCTAGGCTGGGACTTGGGAACTTGGAGGGGCGACGTCCCTGCGAGGTCTTTCAAGGACTGGGCATTTGAAGCACGCTGCCACTGCCACGCTGACGTCGGACTGACGGTGCTCCATCCTGTTGTGCTAGAACGGAAAGCATGCTTTGGCTTCGCCTCCACGCCTTCGCGGTCGCATCGCGTAGCAGTGGACTACCATGAGCTGCCGCAAGAAGCAGCAAACATTGAAAATGTCTTCCACTCATCATGAAGTGACCTCGATTGCTAGACACAGCAGCTTGCAGCTTGCCAATCTCAGCAGGGATATCTCGAAACAACGCTGCATGCCCGGCCTACCGGCCTACTCTCGAGCGGGGCCGCAGTAGGCGGTATAGGCCATGGCTCTGAGCCAAGATTGCTCTTCGCAGAGCGTTGCGAGCGCTTTGCAGATGCGCTTCGAGATGCCACTTCGAGGTATTGGACGGACAGAAGTCATGCTACTTGTATCACCAGATTTACAAGATTCTTCGGGAAGATGCACTTTGGCCAGAGAAGGTCTGGCACAGTTGATGATACTCTTCTCTTTAAACAAACTGCCTTCAATGGGCAGAGAGGAGAGGGGCCCTGTGGGTGTCAACGTGGAACCTCCAGAGGCTCGCGGCTAGATGTGTTCCTTGCCCTGTCTTGCCTTCTGCGCAAGCTCGGCCATGCGAGGAAAGCCTCCCGCGAGCACTGGACGTATCAAGAGCACTGTCTCAGTCACTGGGCGCTGGACCCGCGGCTCCCGGTACCTTCCGGCGTTCGGTGGCAAAAGACAATAACAACACTCACTGTGGGACAAAGCAGCTCTGCCTCTGTTGTGGCACTCGCGAGCAACCTCCGTGGCAATTATCAGCGCCATACAACACCCTACAGTGACCCAATGCTCCCACAGACCACTGCTGGCCGCTCCAAGGACTGCAGACTGGAACAGGCTCAGGATACTGCCGAGAGTAGGCACCCATTGGAGCACTCCAAGGAATCGTCCTGTTTTGCCGAGGTATGTGTGAGACAACACAGTGGCAAGAAGCTCAAGCGTCCAGCAGGTCGACCCTCAAATGCACAAGCTTGAGGCAAGCGCTCTATTTCCTGCTGATGCACCCGCAGCTATGAAGCATGTGCAGAGGTCAGCTCACATGGCCCCAGGATGCATTTCAATCACACCTTTACACCTTTCCTCCCTGCGTGCACGAGGAAGCAATGTCGATGAATCGATATGTCGATAAGTCGATATCCGATATCGCCCATACGTGCCTGCAGTCTTTTCGGGTCAGAGGCAACAGAGGTATACAGAGGTAACCGTCTACATCTGCAAGTGGCTGTACACTGTACAACATCGGAACCCACTAATCCACTGTTTGGGCAGACGAGCGACGGTTCGCACCCATACGGATTACAACACGGCTTGATTCGACTGTTTTGATGTGGTCCTGGGCCCACAGCACAGCAGCATGCAAGTCCACAAGCGTCTCCTCTGGCTGCTGGAGGACATCCGTAAGCCCACACTCCTTAATCTGCCGGCGCACAGTCGCACAGGCATTCGTCACCAGGACCTTCACATCAAGATTCGACCACTCGCGCTTGTAATGCAAAAGTGCAGTCTCGTCCAAGAACGAGACCATGCGCCAGTCTGCAATCGCAACAAGGATCTCTCGATCAAGATTTCGCCGCTCGCGTCTCGCAGCCCTTGTATTTGCCGCAGCATTCCCGAACCAGCGAGGACCAAGGGGTCTTGTAATCACGATCTTCTCTAGGGGAACCGCAGAAGATCCCGGCACCCCAATTTCATCGTAGGTGGTGGTTCCCGGCACACGGCCGATGTGGACATATCCGGGCCCTGCAAACCTGGACAAAGAGACTGCCACCTGCATGCAGACTGCAATCAGCGATCCGTTGACAATTCCGAAGACCAGAGGCGATAAGAACGCTATAGAGTAAATGCTTAAATCACTCGCCACGATCATGCGCAATGTACTGTTCGGAGACGTTAGGCAGGCCTGTTGCCAGAGGTGCCAGATTTCCCGAGGAAGGCTCCGCAGCAGTGGAGCAAACTCTACCACCAATATTACCGAGACGGCACAACGGGGAAAATCGAAGTTTGATAGTTGGGAGACGGTCACGAAAGCCACAAGGTGTCCCAAGATGTTTCCAAAAGTAGCGAGTCCACCTGCTGCACCCTGCAGTGCCTGACAGATTGCGAGATTAGCCATGACAGGCATCCCTCCCACAAGGGCAGCCAGCAGACTTGCCGAGCCCAGTGCAAAAAGCTCCCGCCTTGGGTTCCAAGAATCGGTCGGGCGTCGAACCCTTTCGGCCACCGTGAGATGACTGCCAAGCGTGAGAAAAGCTGTGAGTGCAGCCGTGGGCAACGTGTCCACGAACTGTTGCAAAGTCCAGCGTTGGAAGACGTATTCGGGAGAAGGAGTTTCGAAACGCTCCAAGGACTCCAAGCCTCCCATATCTCCCATGTACTTCTGCACTGCAGCTGCCGCCACAAGTATTGCCAAGTTGGCTGAGGTCTGCAGGACGACACAGGCGCCTGCACACAGGTTTCGAGCAAGACTTCCACGTTCCAGTTGTGCCCCACGCTGTCCCATGACCTTGCAGATCAAGAGAACAGTGAGCAATGCAGAGGATAAGCCAGCAGTTCGTGGGGAAATCTCCCTAAGGGAGGAACAAGCTGTCACGAAGCGACGTATAGGCGTGGTTTGCACACGGTCAGAGAGTCCAAGAAGCGTCTCAGTCTGACCCAAGAGGACAATGAGTGCCGCCGCTCCCGTCCGAGCACGGAGTAAGGGCTGTGAGAACAGCTCCACGGCGGCTCCCAAGTCGAGGAGGCCCATCAGGAAGTGCATTGCTCCAACTAGGACAGCCAGGAGACCTGCTATCGCTGCAAGATCGGTGTGATCTTCACTCGAGGCAAGAAGCTCCCCCAGGCATAGGGCTGCGGTCGATCCAGACTGCACCGAAAGGAGCGGAAGGCTTCCAAGCAGCAGGTATGCTACTGGCGAGAAGAGGCTGGTGTTTATGCTCACGGAAGGCGGGACTTTGGCCAGAGCCGCATTGCCCACTGCAAGTGGCCAGAAGACGATGCCAACAAGCAGCCCTTGCCACAGGTCAGTGAAAGCTGCGCGGGGATGATCCAAATAGAATGATGCTCCAGCAGGCAACCACCTCATGGTCAGACCATCACTAGTCTTACTGCCGGGTGCTACGAGAGAAAGCTGAACTTCTACCCCGCCACCGCCAACGGAGCTCCTCTGCAAAAGCCCTGCTAACTCTGCTTGCTACATGCAGCTTTGACCATGATAACATAAGTTGACAATTCCGCGAAACTCATGATGAGGCACCAAATCGACTAAGTTGTGCAGACATGTTTGCCCTTTCACCGTGTCCTCATGCGCATGTAGGCAACTTAGGCAGCAATGTGAAGCCATCTCGAACACAACAGCGAAGGCGGGATGGGGGCGTTGCAGATTCGGAGGAGGATGCTGGAGGGGATCCTAGCTGCTAGACCCTTACTCTCACCCTGAAGCATGTCTGTGGTTGGCAGACTCAGGTACGCTTGGTCAATCTCATCGATCTGCATGACCCGAGCTGCGGCTACGAGTCTACGAGGGAGCACAGGGCCGGTCCTGGCTTCTGCCACAGCAGCCGCCATGCACCTGAAAGATCTTCTGATCTGCTCTGCGAAGCAATGTCTGCCACGGCTTCTGTTGGTCGTGCTCCAAGGTTCGGGCCCTCGGGCTTGCTGCAGCCATCAGCCTGGTTTGCAACGTCGGTACAATGTGTTTCATGCTGCCAGATGCAAGAAGGCCTCATCAAGCCAGAATCAGGCTAGGCAGCATCCAACACCCTGAATTTCAATTCAACACGCTGGCCGACTCAGCCGTGACATGTCTCCTTCCAGCAGATTCCTTGTTGAAGCAACTTCTGCACTTTGCACTAGCATTGCGGGTCATGTTTCGGCTATGCTGCATTGCAGGATTTATCATGGCGATGCAACTGTGTCGAATTTACGACTCGCGGCTGCAGGAAGCGCGGACGCCGCTTCTTACGAATTGTCAAACCTTTGCTGGCAACACTTTACTAAGCGTCGCGTGAGCATTGCAAACATCACCACCATGAGCGCTAGCACTGTCTCGTGTCCTTTACACTCAGGGCAGTGTCACGGGACACATAAACAGTTTCCCAAGGCTTCACAGGTTTCACGATGGAAAGAGGAGTCACCTGCCTTGACGGCACCAATCGTTCTGATGGGGTCTGCGTGCCGGTACAATAGACTCAACTAAGTTTGCTTGTCGTTTCAACAGTAGGGCTCGTGACATAGAACTGTTTCTCGTCATACAGGTAGCTAATCACAACTATGCACTTTAAGATCAGAACCTCGATTCACAATCGGTTCGGGCACGTGGTCAGCTTGAAGTTTCGGAGGTACTTCATGCGATTGAAGCAGCCGGCTTGTTTGGTCAGCAGTGGCACAGCTTGACAGCAATTCAGCTGCTAATTTCGTTTCATATGCTCGGCTTTGAAACGGGTCGGCTGGGTCGGCTGGAGGTCAAGAGCTTAAGCCAGTGGGTCAGTGACAAACAAACGGTCTTAAAACTGAATCCTTCAACCTGCCATCGGGTAGTAGGGCACCGGCTCACAAAAATCAATGGCATAAAGATGATGGCTGAAGTGCAGAATATGGTACTGATTCGTACCAGCATTGATGAAGCTGTTCTTTAGCTTTAGCCTTTGAATGAATGCATCGAACAAACTTTTTCTGTTGATTGCACGACTAGGTTCTTGCTGCATGCGAAAACTTCGATAACTTATTTCATCGGATGACACAAGAAGCATTCACGGCAATTTAGATTGTGTAATGCCGTGTGGAAGGCCATACGCATTCGAGGGATCCCGTGCATGTATTGCTTCTGGCTGCTTCTCAAGCTCTGATTGACTCTGGCTCGAGGCTTCGAGTCCGATAACACAGGCCTTGCAACATTGGCTCTCGCTGTGCGGAAACACATTTTGTACAGGAGTGATCAAGTTCAATTAAAGACACAACATGATGCATGTCTGTTGCTAGTGGGAATGATCATGGTCAGACATCATCCTCGCGGAACCTTGAAACGACGATCTGGCAAAGTTAACTCTTCAGCGAGTGCTAGCAAAGATCTTAAGCGGCAGGGAAGGCGAGGACGTGACAACTTATCAGCGATCGAGAAGAAACAGAAGGCTTCCGACGTTGCTGCTGTGCTGGAACAGCTCATGCCAAACGGAGAGTTGTCTGGATATCCCAATCGAAATCATTCAAAGCTTAATCGAAACAACCCCAGAAGCAAAACATGACAATGCGTTCTATTTTCGTCAGTAGTGCACAGGTTCGTCAATGTCAGAGTCACCATCGCTCAATTCATCTTCATGCCGAAATTCTCCTCGCCAGCCGATCAACACACGAAGTAGAACCGCAAGTTAAGCCCTGTCCTGCACGGTGAACGTCGATGCGACGTGGATACGCAAAAAAGGGGACCGCCTGCTTGATCCTCCAACGCCTGGAGTTCACAAGAGCCCCAGAGTGGCCCCATGGCAGCCGCTGACTCCAGACACCGAAAGCTGAGCAATGAAGCCATTTCAAGCGGCGCAGCCGCATCATGGCCTTGCTGGTCCAGAACAGCCGAACAGCCCAGGCCCCAGGACTCGGAATTGCAGTCGTGTGACCCGCTTCGCGCCGCTGAAGCCCTCCATTTGCTCAAACCTCGGCCCAAATAGAAATCATTACGTTCAGATCTGAAGCAAAAGGCTCTCAAGGTGCTGGCTTCACGAAAAAAGAGCTGGAATTGTCAGCTACGATGGGATGGCGAACTGCACGGACCTGGTGGTATTGTTGTCATGGCTGGACTCAGTTTTGAGAAAGGCTGGGAGGGCGACTGGATAAAACCGAAGTTGGTGCATGACCTCGGACAGAGCCTACCTGCTCACCAAGTCGAAACACCTATGCGATGATGGCATGGCACCTGGAGGAACTCTTCCTCCGTCATGTCCTGGCACGCAGACACATACACCATGTCCGACTCAGCACATATGCACAGGCTCCTCCTGCCATCCGGTGGTAAACACCCACGTTTTGGAGTCCTTTCAAACAGCAATCGCCAGAGTCGGCCCTTCCATGAGCGAAGACACGTGGATGGTACGTGGCTCGTTTGAATGCTTCAAGTTCCGTCATACTTCGACAATGAACTTGTAGGAGCTGTTGCAATCAGGGTGCTCCAATTATCTACTCTGCCAGTCGAGAGATTTGGCACTGGCCGACAAAGATTTCTGCGACCAAGCATTCTCACCACAAGACACGCTGAGGGCAGGGCATGGAGGAGAAAGTCTAAGGCCTTGCAGCAGTGAGCATGACAACTTGCTGAAAGATGCCTAACGAACGTGTCACAGTCTGGGCTGCACGCAGGGTCGCTCAGGAAGAGCGTTGCACGACTGGACCACAAGAAAGCAGCTCCTTACAACTCCAGAGAGGTTTACTGTTTACCCAGGAAGTTGTGCTTCAAAATTGAAACCTAACTTCGACCATGTTTGAGGTCGACTCCGAAAAGTGAACCATGGGCGACCCGTTTGGGCACAGCAAGCTCCTGCTTCATATCAGCTCTCATCGCATACAGCAATACACAGCAATGGCGGGATGCAAATCGAATCTTGAATGCAGCCTGAATCTCTTGGACGCAGCGGTCGACAGCTTCTGACGTGGGGCAGACGACGTAACACGTGTCTGCCTGCCTCCCCCACCTCAGGGCAGACAGCTTCGGAGTCGCAACGTGTCTCAACATCTGTACCACAAATGAGGATCTGGCCGCTTGAAACGGAAAACTATGTCAGCAAGTGCTACGGTCACGTTGCACCGCTCTTTCAGAATATGTGCAATGTCCTTTCAGCACGATGGCTCAATGCGGCTCAACACTCACGACGGAAAGGCCGACTGTCCTTCCGCCCATAATTTGACGGAACCTGCAGCTGAGCCCCCGCACCCTGACTATGTCACCCTCGGCACCCCAAGGCAACCCAACATGTGCAATGTCTGACCCAGTCCCACGAAACTGTATAAGTGCAATACACCGAAACCAGCAAAAGAATAGTTTGTGTTTAGGCCCGTTTAGGCGTGGGCTTAAGAAGTGTTACAGTATGTCTGTATATGTCAACAACAGCAGCAGCCGCAGCAGCAACAACAACAACAACAACTAACAACCACAACCACCACATCCACAACCACAACCACATCCACATCCACAACCACAACAAAACACAACAACAACCACAACGACAACGATAATAACAAACACCAACACCACCACAACAAGAAGAAATATGATAACATAAAGGTGTATCAAACACGTATGTACGAATGTGTACATGTATATATATACACACACACATATGTCGCGTCATATATATATATATATATATATGTATGTATATATATTTATATGCTCAACCCCCCCCCCCCCCCCGTTGACAGACCATGCCCTTGTGATAGTGTACTCTCGTTCGGTGACTAGGCTGAGATATTGCATCTAAACACACCACACATGACGACAATCTGTAAAGCAAATCCTTTACAGTACATATACCAAGTATACTTTTAACATGCCATGTACTGAGGACGCATGGACCAGATGCGCGACACGTGAGTTATGAGTTTTGTGGTAGCATTGATATAGGATGAGTATGAGTATTAATATTGGTATTAGTATTAGTATCAGCAATAGTATTACAGGAGTGTTTACTGTAAGTATGTATATATATATATATATGTATATATCGACAGTAGCAAGTATACATTAATGTTAGTGCTCATCTTCGTTTTAGTCTTAGTGTTAGTGCCAGTGTCAATGCCAGTAATAGTACCACTGCTAGTATGAGTATCAGTCTTCATGCTGGGTTTAATATCAGTTAATAATGGCAGAGGTGCTAGTATTGGTATCAAAATTAGAGTTATTAGAGTTAGTCTCGATATGTTACTATTCTGATAGTTTCGTATATCAGCAGGTTAGTATATCAACACATTGATGTGTTCGAGAGGCAACATATTTGTATACTTGCATATTCGTAGATTTAATACTTTAGTACAACTGATGCATGAGTAAACTAGTATATTGCTGTATTAATATATTTTTATATTAACATACCAGTATATTCGTACATTAGTGTATTAGTATACTAGTATATGCAATATACGTGTATTGTGTAAAGATTTATAAGTGTATCAGTATGTTGTCATATTAGTACACTAACCTGCCACGTCGGTATACTTGCATATTACAGTAGTCGCATACTAGTATAGTAGCATACTAGTATAATAGCATACTAGTATAGTATATTCACACATTAACAAGTAGTGTACTGTTACATTGGTATATGGGTATATGCTTGTCCCAAAACATCAGTACATGAATGCATTGGTACATATCGGCATTTTAAGTTAATGGTATGTGTTCTGGTGTGCATTAGCATATGCACGTGTCTTTTGTAATGGTATTAGTCTTCACATCAATATGAATATGACTATTGGTATTCGTAGGAGTATTAATGTTAATATTCGTATTAGGATTATCCATAGTCGCATTAGCCTTAGTATAAGTGTTAATAATGATATTAATACTGGCATTATCTTGAATATTCAGCAAGTTGTCAATGTCAGTATTAGTATTGGTGACAGCATTACTGTTAACAGCATAAGAGTATACGCAGTAGTATCCGTAGGAGTATCAATACTTACGTAAATCTTGGTGTTGGTAAAAACAGTGTGATTGGTATTAGTAATAGTGCTAGTGCGAGTGCTAATATTAAAATGAGGTTATGTATTCGCATGAACGTTTGTCTTATATTGGTATTACTCCTGATTACATGAAAATACTAACAGGTAAATACATGCATGAGCTCATGTATTTGTACTTTAATATAGTGGTATGTATATTTATGTACATTGGTATATGCAGGTGTGTATTAGTATTGGAATTAAAATACAATACTACCAATATGGGCATAATTATTGATATGCGTAGGAGTATGAACGTCAGTATTAATCATTATTAGTATTTGTTATTTGTATGGTGCCTATTCGTATTGGCTTAAAAAAGTGTAAATATTAGTGTTAATGCTGGTATTAGCTTGGGCAGTCAGCAAATGATCAATGTCAGAATGAGTATTGGTAATAGTATTCGTAGGAGTATCAATTTAGAAAAATAGATAAACACTGACAATCGTCTAAGCAGACCTTGCCTTTGCAAGTGAGTCGTAGTGCATGGTCTGTCATCCGATGGGTCACAATCAGCCCATTGAAAATCAATTCCAGAAGTTCCAAAATTTCCAAAATTTCCAAAATCTCCGAAATCTCCGAAACTTCCGAAATTTCCAAAATTTCCAAAAATTCCAAAATTTCCAAAATTTCCAAAATTTCCGAAATTTCCGAAATTTCCAAAATTTCCAAAATTTCCAAAATTTCCAAAATTTCCGAAATTTCCGAAATTTCCAACATTTCCAAAATTTCCAAAATTTCCAAAACGGCCCGACCTAGCCGACAAGATTTTTCCAAAACGTAAGGGCGGACTTTTTGGAAATTTTGGAAATTTTGGAAATTTTGGAAATTTTGGAAATTTTGGAAATTTTGGAAATCCGGAAAGTTAGGGGAGAGAATTTTGGAAATTTTGGAAATTTGGAATTGAGTTTTTGAAAGCTGAGTGCCACCTCCCCCCGATCACAGACCATGCGCTACGACTGAGTTGAAAGGGCATGGTCTGTCAACGGGTCTCAGTCTTTTGGTGGTTCCACAGATACGTTCGGAGGGCTCAAACTCGATACCCCGGAAAAAGCACGAACACGCCGGTGGGAGCGATGTTTTGAAGGGGATGGTCTGTCATGGGGGGGGGTGACCATTTATATATATGTGGGTGCTCTAGATACACACACACGTGTGTATACATACGTGTATACTATACTTATCTGCCTGTTTGTGCATTTACCATACACACATGTCAGTGCAACGGGGAGCTGCATTCTTGGCCACACCCGCGGACTGCGCCCATCAGCAGATCAAACAACATCCAGACTTCATATCATGTTGGGGCAACTGTGCGCTTGATCCAATGAAGAGAGTAGAAGTAGCAGTGGTAGTCGTCGTAATAGTAGTCGTCGTCGCAGTGATAGTTCGTGGTGGTGGTGCTAGTAATGGTCGTCGTTGTCCTAGTAGTCATTGCCACTACTACTCCTACTACCAGAGCACCGAGCGCCACAGCGTCCTTTCAGATGTCCTTGGGGGAGGTCTCTATATTGAACTATGGGAGTTCTTCAATATTGTAGTAGGACTAGTAATTAAATGAAAATCAACAACCGCATAGCCTTTCCAGATATAAGCGCAAGGCAGCTGAAAAATTCGCCTCATGAAATGATCTCAGATTCTTGACCGTGCTGACCATCTTAGCTGCTCTACGAACGAAAAGACCAAGCATGTGTACAGCAGCCCACACAACTGACGGTCAAAAGAGAGCTCCAGGGAAACGGTCAAACTTTGAACCTAGAAACAAACATAGTCGAAACCCGGAAATGACTACGCCGATTCCAAACGATCCAGCTGCTGTGGCAGCTTCTGATGCAAGCGCATCACATTTTGTTTGTGCATACCCCTTAAATGCACGAAAGCTGACACGAAGACATCACGAAGTGAAAAAGCAACACGGAAGCAGAAATATGCACCACTCGCTCGAACTCAGTATGTTGAGCAGAGGCTTCCAAGCTCTACACTTATTGCCACCACCTTTGGAATCTGGTCATGACGCTCTGAAGCCATGATCCAAATGATGTACAAGCAGGTGCAGGTATTAGAAGATATGCCCACGACAGAGAGGGCGAGACGTGTCGATGACATGCAGTTTCAGCTGCGTATGAAAGGCATGGAACTGACAGAGCAGCAACACGTAATTACTCAACTGAAGCAGAAACGGAGGCTAGAGTCACAGGGAGAACTTCCTATTCAATTCGAGCACACGGAAAAGACACAGAAGTTACTGTTAAATCCGTGGCTGAACAATGACCAGTACTTGGGCAACTACTCAAAACAGCCTGCTCAACAACAACCTTGCACCAGTGTCAGTTGGATATAGTGGCATCTTCTTGACCAGACCATGTCGTGGCGAAATGACCAGATATGCATCGAGCAGACTTACTTCTCGCCTCGGTGATGGTAAGAACTCGCAAGAAACTTTCTGGTGCAGCGATACGTCTCAAGTCCTGCAGGTGCACGCTGTGGCGAACTGGAACAAACGACACGAAGTTGAAATCGATGCGCAGCGCCTCGCTGAGATGCACGAACCTCTCACACTGCTCCACGAAGGCCTTCCGCGACGCACCACTGGGAGACTCAAAGCGCCGATCCCTTCACCCACGTCCTGCTGCCAACCAGCCTCGATGTCTGACCTGTCCATGGGACGGTATGTCGTTCCCCAGGGAAGCTCCTTCAACAAACCAAATTGTTCAGCATGAAGCTCCTTTCTGACAAAGCTGGGCCGGCCTTAACAACATCGGGAATGTGAGTTGGCGAGGCTACAAGAGCTCGCCCCATCGACGTGCCCAAACGAGACCGCATCAGCAAGATTTTGCTGCGCCTCAAACACAACCACCATGCAAAAAAGCTCACAGAAGAGCATGCAGAACAAGATGAAGCCTAAGTCAGAGGCCATGTTTCTCCTAAGTCTTGCCCGCAGCTGCTCAACGCCTTTCGCACATGCTCCTGGACACTTTTCTCTGAAATGCAGAGCAAGACGGCCCTTGTCAAATCTGCACCGGCGCCCGACGCTGTCTCCTCGTTCCAAGCACGAGGCAGGCGCTCCAGCAAGAAGGCCTCGCAGCGGCGTGAGGAGCCCCTTCTCAGCAACTGCCACGGCCACCGATTCCCAAACTGCGGGTCACGCACACGCATGTGCAAGGTCGGACAGATGCTCAATCAGCATCACTGCGCTGCTGGATCTGGCGGGCGAGCCTCCTGCCTTTCGCTCAGGCTTATCTGCTCCTGCCCCAAACAGACACGACGCAAAAGACGGCGCCAATGGACCGAGCCTGCGATTCCCTGAAGGAGGTCGGTGCCGTCACCATCCACCTCCGCGCCAAAGCCGCCGCGATGCACTGCGGCGCATCGCGGACGCCCTGCGGTTTCGGCCCCGGCCTCGGCCTCGCCGGCCGAGCCAGGCGCCTCCGACGGGGCACACAGCGGAAGCGCTCCCACGCGAAAGGAGAATGAGCGAGAGAGAGTGAGGGAGAGTGAGGGAGAGTGAGAACAAAAATCTTCTTACACAGAAAGCTAAGCCCCGACTGCACCTCACCGCGGCCACGGCGCTTTGGCGCATGCCGCTTACGAGGTGTGTCTCTGTGTTTGTGTGTGTGTGTGTTCGCGCCAATCACTACCGGTACGTCCAAGCATGTCAAAGTGCGGCCATGTATCCCAAGTCTGCCGCTCTGCCTCTGTCAAAAAAACCTCTTGCGCTTGCAATCGCTTGTGTCTGCGTTGTCTCGATCCCGCTAAGGCTCAATCATCTGGTCGGCATTCTGCACTTTTGCCACGGGCATCTTTCCGCGAAGTATCGTGTACAAAACTGCAGGGATACCACATCGTGTTCTTTCGCTGGTGCCACGGCCGGCCTGATTCATTGATCACCGGAGCTCTAGCACTACTTGGCAGGCTTGTTCTTGCGTGCCATATACCGCTCACGGGCACTTCCGACCTGGAAGCAGCAGGTTGAATCCCAGTCCAACTCCTGCTAGCATCTGCAACTGCCTTCACTTCGCGCTCCTTGGCAATCTGAGCTGCATCCTGAAGCTAAGATATGCTGGCATGACAGGCTAGACGGCTAGAAAACCTACTAGCAGCACGAAAGCTGCAATCAAAGGCGGAAAGTCCTTGGGTGCATCCTCCTGCCAAATGGGTGCGCTTCTTGTGAAATCTCGACAAGTTGCAGGCTGCCTGCCTTCTCCTGCCTGGAAGTCTTCTTCTCGATGCCCACCTGCGCTGGCCAAGCTGAGGAGCACGTGCGCACGGGCACAGTGTCGCACAGTGTCAGCCAAACTGAGCGTCTCGGCCAATCGCTTGAGGTCCACCTCGACGAGCTTTGGCAGCAAGGGCCTCCACTGGTCTTCGAAACTTGTGGCCGTGGATACAGCCTACTGCCCACACGGAGTGCTACGAAGTAAGAGGGTTCCGGCGGCCGACGGTGCACGTCGAGCTGGGATTGCATTGTTCTGGTGACAGGGCGCTCGCCGAGGCCAGGACTGCAACCACTTGTGAGCCACAGCTGACACGGTGCCTCAAACTCACAAAGCAGAGCAGAGCAGCAAAGTACTCAAAGATGCTCAAAGCGTTCAAGGTCAGACAAGTAAGAGTTGAACGCATCATGCAGTTGGCAACCGTGCTTCCGACCAGGTCAGTGTAAAGCACCCACCTAAGCTCAATCAACCCGACTTCGATGTTGTGCAAGGGACAAGTCATCATAGACATGTGACAGCGTATCTGGCACCGTGCTAACCGGTCAGGCAAGATGAGGACCACTTGTCCACCTACCCACGTTTTGATTTGGCTGGACTTTTATCCTGTAACCCCTGGACTTTTGTCCAATAACCCCTGCATGCCCTTTTCGCCGACTGCCTGTAATGGCTTGCCTTAAACGCGCTTAGGATGTAACACAGTGATACCATCGAATCTGTGAGCTGCAGAAAGCTGTTCCCTTGATGTTGCTGTGCCCTTTTCGCTGTCGATCAAACTCGTAGATCTTTCCTTTCGACCCTGAGGGAGAATCCAACACAAGCGCGGGGCATGCAAAATGCACCCCGGTTCGTCGATATTGCCTGCTCCTGCAGAAAATTCTGCTGAAGGAGAAGGCACAGCAGCTTTGTTTTGATAAGGCTTGAGCACCCTCCAATACTCGGCTCTGCGGCGAATTCTGATACCCACGTCGAAACCGTCTGCTCCGGCCACAACTGTCGAGCGTGCACACAAGCGGAACTTCCAGCATGATATACTCGTCAACCGCTGCACGAAGAGCCAATCTGCAACGCTGGAACCAAGGGTTAAACACCAAAGTTTAGGAGCTTTCATCTCCAAGGTCTCGATACTCCGCTTCATCTTGCCAAAGAAAATCACAAAAGCAGGTGGAAACGCATTTGCCAAATGCTAACAGACGCTGGAAGCCGCCGACACACTAGGCTTGGCCGAGCCGGACCTCCTCTTCGGCCGTTTGTCCGGTTGTGGAATCCGTGTTATATATCTCGTTGGCAGTGTGGGCCCCGACAGACCTCCTGAACAGAGCAGCCGACCCGCGCCCTACGATGAGCACAAGGCTGTCATGATCGGTGCCACAGAACACGGTGCCTTGCGGCTTTCGCTGTCGGCCCTCATCGGCGAAAGTTGACGTGTGAATTGCGAGGCATCAGCTTCGGGCAGTGAAACCGACGAAAGAAAAACATACTGGCTGCCATGAACTAGCAAAGGCTGCGATGATGTTGAGACTGAACCACCTGCCGTGCATCCTAAAACTCCATTTAGCTCGGTGGCGGGCTCTGCACAAGATCCATCCATGGCGCTGCCAGCTTCGCATTTTACCAGCACGTTCTCGCCTGCCAGACAGCATGCGATTTGATGCCTCGCCAAGACATCCAACAAAAGACTTCTGCACCGCACCTACGATCAACCATCCTCCTCCGGCTCCGCACATCCGAGCCGTTTGCATGAAGAAGCCCGAACCTGCGCGGAGATGGTAGATGACGGCTGCTTCCACGCAAATGCTTGCCACTGACAAGCTGAGAATGCAGCATAAGGACTCGAGCAACGCCTGGAAACTAAAAGGCCCGTACTACATCACAAGAGATGAATTCGCAGACCATGCCTGCTCGACGCTGTTGCCATTCTTGGGCCCACCTGCAGACTCCGCAAGCGGCACGAAGCGGCGCCCGCCGTTCAGCTTTGCCTGGCCTCGTCCTCGATCACGGTCTCTGTGGTCTCTGTAGCGATTGCGGACTGCACGAACTGCATCCCTCACAGATGCCTCCAACAGATAGGATCTCTTCGCAAACAAGAGCCCTCTTAAGCGAAGGATTCCACACAGAAAGACGTAACCGTGAAGACTTACCGGGTCTGACAAGCAGGAGCTTGAAACGAGCAAAGACGAAATTTACGAGGACATGCTCATATAGTTTGCCGAAGAGTCAACATACAAGTAGCAATGGGTAGACTGCCGCATCTACAACTTGCCTGCCCCACAGCCTGAATCCTAGCCAGTCAGAGCTACTGCGCCAAAAAATCGGCACACCGAACGATGCGAGACGACACTGTGAGTGAACTGCTTCCGGATGTGGCTCAGTAGCTTGAAGAGATGAGCTCGAAAGAAGTGGCTTTTGGATGCCATCCACAACTGCCCATCAAGGAATCACAAGGCAACCGCTACAAGTATCAGAAGAGAACAAAGATTGGGTTCGCTTTGAAGGCAAGGCCTTGCCTCCGAGACTTTCTCCAGCTGGTCGCACAACTGCCCGCGGATATCACGGGCTTGGCGCAACGCCCTGAAGTGCAGAAAGTTGGCTTTGCACCATTCTGGGCTGCAACCGTCATCTTCCCACATGGTGAAAACCCGAACCAGGGTGAGGTGATCACCAAGATGATGCAGAAATCGTTCCTGTGCCGCTCGCGCTTCCTCCCACTGGTCCGCATTGTGCTTGGATGGCCGATACCACACCCCCTCGGAACTCAACATCGACACCAGCGTGAGGGCCTCCGAGACGCAGCCACTCTCCGCAGCCGCTAGCAACACACGCCCGTACTGAGGTTCAAGAGGCAGCTGCGACATTCTCCTCCCCAAGTCTGTGAGGACACCATCCTCGTCGAGGGCCCCGATTAGAAAAAGTAGCCGCAAGGACTTCACCAAGCGAACACGATCTGGTGGCTCCATGAAGTCAAATCGGACTACATCTTCGATACCCATAGCCTTCATCTGCAAGGTCACGGACGCAAGATTCGACCTCAGGATTTCAGGGACGGTGACCTTCGGCAGGCTGCGATTGAAGGTTTCCTCCGAGTACAGCCTGAAACACTTGCCGTGCTGTGTCCGGCCCGCTCTGCCAGCCCTCTGTTTGGCCTGGACCTGCGAGACTTCAGTAACTTGCAGAGACTCCATTCCAGTCTTAGGATTAAAATTCTTTTGCTTGCAATATCCGCAGTCAACGACGTAGCCCCCTCCCGCCACTGTGAGGGATGTTTCGGCAATGTTCGTCGAGAAAACAAGTTTACGGCATCCCTCTGGAACCTCTTCAAACACATTCCGCTGGTCGTCAGATTGCATCATTCCATAAAGTGGTACAATGAGACAGTCGGCAACCTGCTTTCCACTTTCAACCATGCTTTGCAGTTTCGAGTTTGCCAGGCCCACTGCCTGTTCGCATTCCTCCATTCCTGTGAGAAACACCAGGATGTGGCCGGGTCCCTCACGGACGTGCAGATTCAGCGCAACGTTTACTGCGGCTTCCACCCGCTGGGTCTTGGACACAGGGTGGTAGTGCAAAGCAACCGAGAAACTGCGCCCAGGGACTTCGAGGACGGGGCACGCAAAGTACTCGGAGAACGCTCCAGTGTCAAGAGTTGCGGATGTCACCAGCATTCTAAGCTGACCCGCCCTGTTGCTGACAGCTCTCTTCATTAGAGCAAAGAGCACATCAGTATGCAAGCTTCGCTCATGTGCTTCATCCAAGATGACAACATCATAGTTCGCAAGATCGGGATCACCAAGGCATTCGCGGAGCAGACAGCCGTCGGTCATATACCTCAGACGTGTGCTCGCGCTTGACTTGTCTTCAAAGCGGATGCAGTAGCCTACCAGATCTCCCAGACGTGTACCACGCTCATCCGACACGCGGCGGGCCATTGCTACGGCCGCGACCCGCCTTGGCTGGGTGATGGCCACGCGAAGTCCCCGCTTGTTCTCGAACAGGCAATGAAACTTCTCGGAGTCCAAGAGGTACTGTGGTATCTGGGTCGTTTTGCCAGATCCAGTCTCCCCCACCACTACTATTGTCGGATGCTCTAGCAGGAGATCAATAATCTTCTCCTTGTAGGCAGCAACGGGGAGATCATCGGGGGCCTTGGCTCGAGGCGTGCCCCGTGTCTTCGGGACATCATCTTTAGCTTCCGAGTCTTTTTCCGCTTGCTTCTCTGGTGGCGATTTCCCACGTGACCATTGCGACGATCTTGACCTTGATCGAGACCGCTGGGATTTTCCGTTCGCATCATCCTTCTTCACAGGAGACGCCATTGGATCTGACCGCCGTTCATCGGCACACAGGGTGCATGGCTTGTGTGGCTGTTCTG